CGAACCGCTGAAGCGTCGACCATTTCTGGCCGGCAACTTTCAGCATCATTAAGCCGCTGCGCCACCGCGTCCCCCTAACCCTCCTTCTACTGAAGAGTAAATAATTCCCTCACCCATGCATCTGCTTTTCAGATGTTAGAGAAGGATGGGATTTGAGATGAAATCTAGGACTTGTGTTTCAGTCCAAACAGCCTTAACTTAGACCTGTCTGTGAAGATAAGCAGAAATGAAAAACCAAGCTCTGATCCAGATTACTTATGTAGGGGAAGGGTGGGAAGGGAAATTGAATTCTAGGGAGGGTCAAAGTGGTTTTACAGTATTTCCTATGGGCCAGAAAAGCTTCCAGAGAACTTCCATCTATATCTACTCAGCTCCCCTGTCAGTTGGGTATTTGTGTAGCTCTTCTGCCTCTGTAGCATAGAAAGCACAGAAAGATCTTTTGGGAACCGTACTGTTCATTATGAATCCCATAATTAATTTGTGGGATTCGTTCCACTAATCCGGATGGAGGCCTTAGAAGGGAATTGGGTACATTCAAGGAGTGTTGATGGCCTGAAGACTCCGTGTTATCTCCAAGCTGAGGACAGCACGCCTCCAAATCCCAGCTGCAGAGCAGCAGTGGTGGAAGAGGAGGAGGCCTCCATCTTTTGCTTGGGATCACCCCAGACGGATCTGGTAGGCTACTTTGAGAAACAAAATGCTAGGCTAAGATGGGCCTTAGCCTGATCCAGTAGATCCATTCTTATATTCCATGGGATTTGTTCCCATAAGATGTGGTGATGGCCCCGACCTTGGATGGCTTTCAAAGGGCGTTGGTTCAGTAGATGGAGGACTATCAAGGATTATTAGTCCATGTTACCTCTGGGTTGGAGGAAGCCTGCCTCCATACAACTGCTGGGAAACAGTGATGGAAGAATTGAAGTTTCCATCTCCTCCTTGTGAGCCCTTTAAGGTCCCTGGTTGGCCACTATGTGACACAAAATGCTGGGTTAGGGTGGTGGTTGGCCTGATTCAGGAGGCTGGTCTTACATACTTCAGGGTGAAAATAGGCCATTTTTACTCAGCATAGAAAAAGCAGATCCAGGATGAAACTGATCTCTTCCCACCATGGAAGCTGTATGCTGGAGACTGTGACTTAGTTCACACGTTGTGCTGAAATCCTAGCCTTTTTTTTTTTTTTTTTTTTGGTTCGGCGCCATGCAAACCCAACCACTGCAGTTAGTCAACCATGGTTAGTAGCTTGGAAGGGGGTGTACAGCAGGCTACCCTCACAGCTTTCACATACACACAAAAAAAGCCATTTTTTGTTTGCTTAGCAAACCCCACTGAACAGATTTCTGCATGACCCTGACCATGGGTAAATCATAGATTGGAAGCTATCATGTTGATGTTGCGATATCACAAAGACGTGTATCAGGACTGGGATCGCAGCCCTCCTCGGACGTAAACGTGGAGGCCATCCTAAATATCTGGTATACCGCCAAGATAGTAGATGCAGAAGAACCACCACCCAATTTCCCCATTTCTAATTACTCCAGTTGTGTTTGGACTACAGTTCCCAGAATTCCATTGGCCGTGCCAGCTTGGGACGCTGAAGTGGTAACACTTCTGGATGGGGACTGGTTAAGGAAGCCTGCTCCCAGAAGAACTTTTGGGGACTTGTAAAGCACTTGGTAGACCTGAAGCCAAGCAGAACCAGAGATTATTAGAAGTTGCTGATAACTTTATTTGGGAAAGTTCACGAAAGCAGCTTCAGGAAGCTTCTAGTTCATGTCTCCCATCTCCTAACACCAGTGCTTTTTAAACCATGGCCCAAGACGACGTGCCCGCCAGCCAGAATGGGCCCCTGCGTTTCCAAACCAGTTCTTGCATTTTAGCTTTGGTTTACTAGCTTTTCTCCAAGAAGGAGAAAAAGGTCATTGTCGCCTCACTGGCGCGTTCCGGTTTCGCAAGTCACCTTTGAAATGAATGAAATATTCAGGCCCCGGTGTGAAATATTAATAAGAATGTTTGTGCATGAATCACAACAGTGTCAATCTGTAGATGGGTCGTGCCGGGGAGGTGTTTCAAGGTCTCGACGCGTGAAATGAATCCAGTGCCTCCCTTCTCTCGGCTCACCCTCCTGCCATCTCCGATCAGCATGACTCCCCTGGGGTTCGAAATTAAGGAAGGAACCGGAGGCAGCCAGACCAAAAGGCAGGCCGGCTAAAAGCTCAGTCTTATGCCACTCTATGCAGAGTTTAGTGGGAGTTAGTCTCAGTTTAAGTCTCTGTAGGATTGCTGCTTCCAGAAAATGTCCTCTGCCCTTCCTGTGTTGAGAGCGAGGTCAATAAAGGACACGTCCGGCAGACAATTGAGCGCAGGCGTACCGCACAGCAGAAGTAAAAAGTCATTTCTCCCTTGGTGGGGGGAAACCTGTTTACAGCAGTGAAGATTAAAGCAGATCCTGCCCCCCTAAATCTGAAACAAAAGCTTTGTGATTGTAGGGGAATGGCCAGGAGATTCTGCTTTTCAACCGAGTGGTTCTTGAAAGTTGTTTCCCTCCCCCCCCCAGGTTTCTCTGGAAAAATGTAGCCATGTGCAAGGATGGGATGGTCAGTTTCCTGAGTCCTGGGATGGGAGACCATGAGGAAATCAGGGCTGGAGACTAGGCTGGGAAGTGAAAAAGCTCCCTGGAAGGAGGCTGTGGCAGTCCCCTTCCAACACAATTGCTAAGGAAACAACATGGAAATGTGTTTGACTAGCAGGAGAGCATATATTTTTGTGCATGAAGGGGGGGCGCACTTTGGGCTACAGAAAGTCCCCGAGTGAGAGCCAATCAGTCTCAACAGCCGGTGCTCTGGTCCTTCCCCAGCTGCTTTATCCCATAATGCAGCTGGTTCGCGGGTGCCCTAGAAATGTCTCTCTAGGTCTATTCAAGTTAAACTCGCATGCGATGAAACGTCCCGCGTTATTGCCAGCGCATTGCTCTAATATTCTTCTAAAAGCAGCTTTTACAACAGCAGCGGCTGGTGTAATCATTTTGGGTGGCTAAGTGCGTCAGACCGAGAGGCCACCGCTCCACACCGTTAGCCAGGGCTTGGATTTTCCGGGGAAAATTCTGTTTCCAGCCTTGGCGTTCCGTTTATAGACGTGTCCCGTTCCACAGGAACGGCAGAGAGGATTTCGGGGATGGAAATTTCTCCCCCCATGCGAATGGATCTAGGGATTTGAGCAATGGGGAGAAGCTTAATTCCACCCACCCTAAGCCCACCTCACCTAGCGATGCTTCTTCCACCCCCTCCAGGTTTTTGAGGAGTCTCCAGCGCCTGAATGTCACAATCACCCGAGCCAAATACAGCCTTTTCATCCTTGGAAAGCTGAAAACACTAATGGTAAGTGGAAAGGGAAATGATGCTTCAGTGGAAGGTGCAATCCTTTTTACAGGTAGTCATCACTTAATGACCATTCGTTTAGTGGCTGTTCAAAGTTATAATGGTGCTGAACAAAGGGACTTACAACTGGTCCTTGGACCTACAACCGTCGCAGCACCCCCACGGTCACGTGATTGTGATCCGGACGCTCAGCAACCAGCTTGCACTTACAATGGTTGCAGCATCCCAGGGCCACGTGATCGCCATTTGCGACCTTCCCAGCCAGCTTCTGGCAAGCAAAATCAGTGGGGAACTGCGTGATTCACTTAACGGCCGTGTAATTCGCTTAGCAGCCATGGTGATTTACTTAATGACTGCTGCCAAAAAGGTCGTAAAATCGGGTGCGACTCAACAATTGCCCCGCTTAACAAATTTTCTGGTCCCTATTGTGGTCCATAAGTGAGGACTACCTGTACTGTGGCTGCCTCCATCCATCTGCTCAAAGGGAACATGGAGAACTGGAGGCAGTGTCTTGAGGGCGATATCTTGAGTTTACTGGCAAAGATACCAGGGTTCAGACATGCCTCTCTGCACTCAAGAGAGCCTTGAAATCCAGAAAGCTTTGTTGAATAGGATTCCCGGTCGCCCCTCAACCAGCCAGGATGACAAACCACCATTGGTTCCTGATTTGCAGTTTCCAAAGGGTTGGGACAGGAAGTCAGGAATCCCAGTTGGGAGCATCGCATCAAATTAGTCAGTTGGAGTGTAACCTAGCCAAGTTTCTTCCAGTACCCACTTGGTCAGTAGCAGATGGTTGCAAATATTTTACCTCTAGAAGGTACCCGATCTGAGGGTAGTCACTCTTCTGGAGTGATGGGTCTGGAAGGGGGATTACTCCCTTCTCCTGAAGGGCTGCTTCAGACTCCCACCAACTGGGACTGGTGTTTCTCGCATAGTCTGAGAGAAGGGCTCTTGCAAGTCTCCAGGGGACCCCCTGAAATGTCTGCCAATTGTGCGATAAAGGGGTTCTGCCTTCTGCAGAAAGGGTACTGAGGGCCCCATAGGGTCAGGGGGTTGCCCATCCCTGCTTCAGAGGGCCAGAGGATCTGAATACAGAGAATCAGCTTTGCACGGAGACCCGAGATGAAGCGTTTAACGTGAAGTTCCTGCATTTGCTCATCTCGGCTTCTCCTTCGCAGGAGAACAAAGATTGGAACGAGTTGATCCAGGACGCCCAGCGGAGAGGCAACATCGTCCAGACGTCCAAGAACAGTTACAAAAGCAGTGCCTTGAAGATCCTCAAGTCCAGACCATTTCCCCGCTCCGGCGTTACGGCGCCGGAAAGGGAAGCGCAAGGGCACCCAGGCACAAGTGGAGCCAAGCAGCCAGGCGTCTCCCGCCAAGATGCCCACCACCCTCCAATCCCACTTCCCACTCCCGCAAGCAGCAGGACCCCTCCAGAGCCACCTACCCACCGGCCACCCCCTTCGGCGCAGGCCAAACCTGTCCAGGAAAGACCGCAGGATCCTCGTCTGCTCAGAAGAGCAGAGTCGGTGTTAAAAGCAAACAACCGCAAGGAGGGTCCAGCGCCTGGTTTGAGACCAGCCTCGGCACAGATGTCCCCTGAACTTCTGGCTGCTCGGAGCCGCAGCCATTCCATGCCACAGCCGGACGCTCTGCAGGAAGCATCAAGCCACTTTGTCCCAGCTGGACACGTGTGGAACACACACCTGCCAAGCAAAGTGCCCTGCGCCCAAGCCCCCGACCAGAGAACCCCCATCCAGACCAAGCCGTTAAAGACTTGGGGCCAAGGAGACCCTGCCAAGCCCCTGGAATGGAAAAAAGACCAGGACTCTCGCAGGAGGACAGTAGAAGTGTCTCAGGAGAAGGCAGGTCCTATGGACCCCAAGCGTAGGCGCACCACCTTTTGACTACGAGACCCCGTTCCTTGCTAGGGGTCTGGTATTCGGGTCTTCTCAAACAGCTTCTGCCTTTGAGATAAAGGACGTGAGTGTGTGTGTGTGTGTGTGCGCGCGCGCCTGGGTCTATATGCATGCGTTCACTGAACCATAACCATATAACCATATGTTTAAAGAACACAAAACTCTGTAGATCTTAGGTGCAATGTACATTTGTATAGCAAACAAAAGATTTATTTTTTAGAGCCAGGGAAGTTGAGGCTGCCCAGAGAAGCGCTTCCGAGCATGTTGTGTCCTGTGTAAGTGTGCAGCGCACAGTGAGCGAACAGCTCCCTCACCCATCCATTGAGCACAATGTCAGTCGCGGTCCTGACATGCGTGGGACGCTGAGCCCTGCTTTTCCAGGACTGAGATTCCCTTTATTCTACTCATTTCATTGCCCCCCCCCTCAATTTGATACTCCGGGGTACCTTTTTAAATACCCAGAGGTCCAGTGCAACATGTGTTTGGCCCTTCACCCTGCTTCATTCTGGGCTTCCACAGGTGCCTTGTGGAAAACGCTGGAGCAGACGCGACGCCAAAAAGACGTTTGCGCAAATGACAAATGCTTTTGTCTCCATTCGTGGGGAGAGCCTGTCATATTCTCCTCGCCTCCCTCGCCCGTTTTCTGATAGAAGTGCCTCTTTTGGGGAAGAGATTTCTGCAAGTGGAAAGATTTGAGTTATCTCCTGAATTGGGCTGGGGGGGGGGATCACTCTGTCCCTACCCACCACTGCGTGGTAAATCTGATCTTGTATTGAAGTCTTGTAGTTTGGCGACTTGCGTTCTGTAATCTGTTTTTCCCCAACAAGCCCCCCCTCTTCACTCTCAAGATTTGGGGGGAGGATACCAGAACGGAGAAAGGCGTCTTATGCTGACTGCCATTCAGTCCTTGGCATTTTCAGTGGACACAGTTTGAAAAAAGCTGTTTATGTTTGTTCTTATATATATATATATATATATATATACATATATATATATACTACTATGAATAACTTAAATGTAAATACATTAAAATGCACCTTTTTTTAAGAGCTCCCCCTTCCCCTAAATAAACCGTACAGGTTGTTTTTTCAAAATACATTTTGCTCTTTCTGAATCATGCAGCGGAAGGGTGATTTAAGGACATATAATTTTGGCCACACGATCGGCTCTCGAAATTTTGTCCTTTCCTCTAGGGTACCACAAGCCCTTCGCCCATGAGAGTTACTGCTTCTTTACCAAAGGTGGACCTGGACTGGGATCTGCCTAGATCCTTGGCCATTTTCATTGAACTTGTGGAAAATCCCATTTATCAGCTGCCTGCTCTTTTTCGAGCAGTGACACAAGTTCTTTAAATTCACAACTAAACAGAAGCAGAGTCTTCTGAAAAGTTGGTAAACTGAGACCATCACCATAGAAGAAGTCTTGCTTTCTGTCTTGCTCTTCAGCTGATGGACCCAAGTGTTTCATGTGGCTCCAAGCACGCACGAACCCCGCCTCTTAAATTGCCCGAAATCTCGTCGTTGAAATTTAGCCTTTCGATAGTGTGATTTCGGAGTGCCAGGGTAGGTAGGAGAAACACATATGGCCTGAGGGTTGGTTACCCGCCCCTCATTTGGAGGGACAGCTCTGATTTGCCCCAAGTCTTTAATCTGATAATACAACCCGGACCCACCATTATTGCCTGATGCCATTGCTGAAAACTGTAAGTCCTGCGCTGTGGCTAATCGGTGGGATTTTGTAAAGAGAATTCAGTGGTAAAGTTGCAACAAGCTGGTCGTCTTTCCCGCAGCAATAATTAGACCAAAAGGGGTTGACTTGAAGCCCCTCTGCACAGCATCTTGATTGAACTCCGAGCTGTAGATTCTGTTTTTTCATCCCCTCCTGCTCACCCTTTCAGCCCCACAGATGCCTCAAGGTTATGCCTGCCACTGTCTCTCTTCCTCCTAATGCGTTCAGCACCGTGCAAGTTCCTAGCACAGCCCTTGTTGAAATACAACACGTCCCTTTCTGTTCGAGAGCATCCTTCATAATTAGGCTGCCTTTCTGTAGCAGGGGAAGGAGAGTGAATTACATGACGTTTTCCAGGGTTCTGTATCAAGGCCCTACTGCATAGAGGCAAACTAATTAGCTTCTGCGTGCCAGTCTTTCCAAATGAAAACCCTCATGGTTGTCCTGGGATCACACCTCGACCCCCATCATCTGCACTGCAAAGGGAGATATCGTTCCCTCTATATCTGGAGGATCCCAAATTTGAGGCAGACCTCTATGAATGCCTGACACTTGGGGTTTTTTTTTTCGTGCCTCAGGGACTTAGCTTAATTGACACCTTGTGCACTGAGATTTGATAGAGAAGCCTTGAGAACAGGATGATCATCTCTTCCAGAATCTGCCAGAAGACCAGCCACGTTATCATTGCCAAATGGATGATTCCCTATTTTTCTGCATCTCCCAAATGCGGGATGGGATTTTCCATTGGATGGGTCTCATAAAGCTCGTTTCCCAGGATCATCTCAGCATCTTTGCTGCAATTGGGTGCTAGATCTTGGTTCCTGATTGGGTTCAGGAAATGGGATCCCTCAGATTTGGAACCTCAACGGGATGAGAAACGAACAGCTTTGGCAAACACACAGAATCCAATCGATCTGGAGCTATCAGCTTGGATGCTCCCAATCGATTTGACTGATTGGTTTAATAAAGTTGATTAGATTGAGAGACTCGGCAGAACTGCTTTTGAGACCATTCTCCAAGGCAAATCTTTGCGTGCTCCTACTCTGGAAAGGCAACCCCACCCATCAGAAGCCACTTCCATATTGCTATCGAGGGAGCCCATTCGACATATCCATTTGTCAAGCACAACTCATGGGTGTTACTGTTTCTAGAGGAAGCCTCCTTTAGGTAGCCCCAACTGGTGGAATTCCGCACTCCTGACAAGCCCATCCTCTATGGAATTTGTCACTTGTCTCCTGTCTCAAAGCCCTGGTTGATTCTTGTTTCAGACCCTAAGCTCTTACTTGGTGTCTCTGTTCCCACAAGATGCTCAACCAAGTCAATGAAACACCTCCAGATGGCACTCTACCAACATATGGAGCTTGGTACGTGTTAACCTTGGTTATGGGTGGGGGGCTTTGCATGTTCTTCCAACCAAGACCCTTTGGATAGTTCATGATTCTGTGTATTGTGTCAATCCAAAGCCTAGGCTAATTCAGCTTAAACCAAGCCTACGTATGACTAGATACAGAGAAAGTTGGTATTTATTTGCCAACTTTCTTGATTTCTCCCATCCCTATTAGCATTCATCCTACATTATGTTTTGAGGTGCAATGCCTTGATAGCTTTTCCAAAAAGTTCACCATTTGGGACACATTTGTAGAGTCTCGTTTGCTCACTTTGAGGCTAGATTATGGAATAATGAGAATGAGAGCTTCACAGTCGTTTTCCTGTTAGAGCATCAGTGTGTGTTTTTTCCGACATGGCTTTTAACTGTGCAATGGCGTGTTCACACACGCAAACGGTTTTGCAAACCATCCTTCCTGGCCACAGATCTCCACGCGTTGAGATTCACCTAGAAACAAACCCTGAACCCTCTTCTAAGGCAATTTATTTACATACAATAAATTCTCTCAAGACTCGGATTTGTCACAAGTTCTCCCAAAACATACTTAATGTTCCAGAACTAGGCCAGAGAACGGATTTGCATATCTCATTGAGGCTGCAGAACTAAAAGCATTAAATGTTGGGGGTTGTGATTTCTTCTTTCTTCCCTCAAGGATCAGCACAGCAAATTCCTGGATTCCCAGCCAGCCCTGGGATATATTTTTATTATTTTGCAGGAATTTGGTTCCTGCAGTGTTTGGAGCAGGCAATTCACAGAACTCAACGGCTGCTCTTCCTCTTGCCTCAGCTTGACATCCCCCGGTGGTAACCCTTAATGCGGTAACTTTTCCCAGAGCTGAGAGAGAGAGAGAGGAATTGTGCAAAGGGGGGAATGCTAATGCTACCATTTGGGGGATTTTTAAAACTCTTTTTTGTTGAATGCCACAATCTACCAGCAGACTGCCCTTGTGTTTTCCACCCATGTTCCTAGCCAAGGGCAACCACCATGTTGACTCTCACCGCTGGAGTTTACATTTCTCAAAACAGAGGACCAACTGTAATTTGCTTGGTGGTTATTTTCCCCCCCGGCAAACACGGGCAAAGTTGCTAAGACCACCCACCCAGGACTATTTATTAACCTAAGTGGCATGCTCAGATTCTCCCCCCAGCTTCCCCCAAGATCTTAACTGGGAATAGACATGGCTTAACGAACAGTCACATTTTATCTTGCCTCCTTACTGGATTTTTAAACCATCTTGCCTTGCCCTTCCTGCTGAAAACTCCCTTGTCCTGTACATCCACGTTGGCTTCACAAGACTCCTGCCCTCAAAGGGGTAACATTGAAAGGACAATCTCCTGTAAAAGATCACTATATTGCTGGGGAAGAAACCATGGGCCGTCTGCACAAGGATGTGAGAACGTCCCCTGGAGCATTTGGTTGACCAACCATGCCGTGATCATCCCCTCGTAGCATCCGTGGCACCTCAAAAATGGCCCAAATCTCACAACCCCCGCCCACACCATTCTTTTCATGTCAGCATGTGAAATCTTTCCAGATCTGAGCCTTTTCTCCACCCCCTTTTTAAAAAATTGGCTCTTGCCCCAAGGCCTTGTCAAGTGACAATGTTGGGAGTCCTACAAAGGGGCCCACCTTTGCTCTAATCCTGTTCGTGCGGATCATCCTTTGTGTGTTCAACAATTCATCCTCCTATTGAAAGATACCAGGAGGAAGGATTTCTCCTCTTGCAAATCAGGAGCCATGGTAAAAGAGGGTTGGTTACTGGTTTAAAAACTAGGAACACGTATCCGTGCTAAGTAAAGGTAGCCTGTTTAAAGGAAAGTCCTATGCAAACTCTCAACCAACCCCTAACTGCATCTTTGGTATCAGGAAATGCAAGGTGGTTATTACTACTTTTTTTAAAATCATCTCTTTAGAGGGATTACCAGCAAATTAGTTAAGTTTGCAAAGCTGGGAGGAAAATTAACCGAGACCTAACAGCAATTTGTAAGTTGCTTTATGTAATGGATTATAACACCATAATACTTATGGTCAAATGTTTTTCTAGAGGCTGTTCACCTGATTGGTTTTTCCTCCCCCCTTCCCCACTCTCCTTTAGAACATTTATAATTCCAACAAAAATAATTCTCTACCCAAAAAAAAAAAAAAAAAGGATTTGAACTGTAACCTATTCGGCAAAGCCTGGATGAGCGCGTCGTACTTTGGTGCAATAGAAACCAGCGTAGTTCGGCTGCAACCTCGAGAGCCGGTAAAGCTCTTTAACGGGAGAGCTGAAGACTCTTAACCAAAGAGTAAAAAATGGGAAACAAGTACAAAAAAACCTTAATAAATTCAGCAACTGGATTTTGAGGCCGCGCTATCGTTCGAGGCCTCAGCGGCAGCCGGCCAACAACACGAGGGGAATACAGTCCTGTGTCGTTTCTTCTCCCCCCGCCCTTTGTACCTGCCGGCCTCCATTTAGGGGAGCGGCTTCCCAAACCACAGGCGTAAAAATGGGGCTGGGAGGAAGAAGAAGATTTAGGAGGAAAAAAAGCAGTACAACAAAAATGCAAGGTAATTGAGGGCATTCCCCACCCCCCACCTTTTTGCCCCCTTTTTGGCAGCTCCCCCTTTGCCCAGGGGACCCTTGGACAATTCCCCCCGTGAGAAAATCGTTGGAAAGATGCAAAGGCTTTGCATTTCCCCAAAGTCCTGTCGCGTGGTTCTTTCCCGTCTCGGTGACGCACTAAAAGATGTCTCTGTTCCGGCAGCCGCATCCAACCGAAGACCTCAGGGAGGAGCAGGAACCTCCTTTGAATCCTTCAGCTTTAGGCCAACGAGGACCAAAAAAGACCAGCGGCTGGGAAGAGCCTTCTCTCCTTCGCTTGCAAGATTTTCATGCTGTCCCATCCTTTCGCTTGCGGCTTTTCACGTCGACTTTGGCAGGGCACCTCCTTCCTTGCTCTTCAGAGGTTCAACAGTTGTTGCACGTGCAGACCCACCGCGCTGGCCACCAACGCCGAAAGGCTGAGATACGTCCCGGAGGCTGAGTCGCACTCTGCGTTTTCACCCTCACACTTAGTTTGTTCACACAGGACGCCCTTGGCACCCGGCGGGCAGAGGCAGCGCTGGTTCTCGTAACAAGTGCCTCCGTTTTGGCAAATCAGGAGTTCGTCATCACAGACGTTCGCTGTAGAAAGAGGAGGTGTTGTAGGTGCTAGGGTTCAGGAGCCAAAGGGTGGGTGGGGGGTTTAGGGCTGGTCCCCCAAAATAGATGTTGGGGGCAAGGCGGTGTGAATAAAGCAGGTAGAAATAGGCTATGGTCAAGCGTCCCCTACGGGGGACAATGCACAGGTTGGGTAAGCTCTGTTTGGAAGAGGAAGTCTTGAACATTCTCAGGAACCAAGCCATGGGGAACTGGAAGTCGACACCAGCACTCTGAATTGTATTTGGGGTTATACGCGGCTGCATTTGGCATCAGCTACAGTTTTGGAGTAGTGTTCAAGGGCAGTCCCCTGTAAAGCGTACTGCAGTAGTCTAATCAAATGGTGATGAGGTCACGCATGACTACTGGCAGATCAAAGGGGTAGGCAATAAAGTTGCACAAGGGAGATTTGATGGGATCCGAAGGGACAGTTTGATTTGCAAAACTGAGCCAAGTTAAACAGGAACAAAAGGCAGTGATGGATGGGCCCCAGCCCCCCCCCCCCCCCGGTTCAGTCGGATCGGATTCAGGGCTGCAAATTAATTCCAACACCTTCATTCGGAAAGAGGGCGATACTTACGGAAGCAACCTTGTCTCCAGTAGTAGCCGGGCAAGCAGTCATCGCATTTTGGCCCCGTCACGCCACCGCCTTTGCACTCGCAGTGCCCGGTTTCGTTACAACGGTTGGCCAGTGAGCCAACACGGTTGCAGTTGCAATCTGGGGGGAACAACAGACCAGTAAAGGCAGATTTGTGGTGAGAGAAACTAGGAAGTCATCTCAGGCCAGTTTAACTTCTGATGGTGACGAGATGGGGAGCATCTCTGGAGACCCTGGGTGTGTGGACCTCTTCCTGACTTCTGGATAATTTCTAGCATGTATCCTGGACCTCTCTTAAGGTATTGGAGAGCAAGATGGTGTGAATAAATCAGGTAGAAATAGACTGTGGTCAAGCATCCTCTATTGGGGACAATGCAGAGGCTGGGTAAGTTCTGTTTGGAAGAGGAAGTCTTGAACATCCTCAGGAACCAAGACATGGGGAACTGGAAGTCAACACCAGCACTCTGAATTGTATTTGGTATCATACGTGGCTGCATTTGGCACCAGCTACAGTTCTGGTGTAGTGTTCAAGGGCAGTCCCCTGTAAAGTGTACTGCAGTAGTCTAATCAAATGGTGATGAGGCCATGCGTTACAATTGGCAGGTCTTTCCACACCAGAAAGGGCTGCAATGGGTGTGCCAGCCAAAGCTGAGCCAAGGTGCCCCTGGGTGCAGTGTCCACCTGTACCTCCAGCAGGAGCCTTGAGTCCAGGAGGACTCCCAATTTGGGGATCTGCTCCTTCTGGAGGAGTACCATTCTTTGGGGACAACTGCATTGCTTGGTACGGTACTGATTCAGAGCAGGTGAAGGATAAAAAAAGTGGGTCAGCAAAGGCGGGGAGGAGAACCGCCTGCAAATCATGTACATTATGAGCAAGTCCCACCCTGGCCTCAAAGGAGTAGGCAGGAATTTTGGCAGAGGCTCCCAAATTGCTGATGTGGAGGAGGAGTGATCCTGCCAGGATGTCATGGGATGTGGGAATGACCCTGGGAGGCAGGAGGAGGAGTCACAGACTAGGCAATGGTCAGATAAGAGGCAACTTAGCCCACAGAAGGAAAAGGGACATGGGAAGCATCTCAGAAGGGACCCTCCCTAGTTTTCTGGAAAGTAAAAATAAAGGAAGGGAGAAAAGCTTTCAGACTTGCAAGGTTCTGTTACTGTAACCTTACAATAAAGGTAGTGTTAGTACTCATGGCTGGTGCTTCTTGTCTGGAGGACCTCAAAGAGCTGAGAGCACATCGTGCAACCGGGAGTAAACCACTGCTCTGGAACCTTGCCAAACAGACCTGAAGCTGCCTAGTGCCCTCACACCTTCTACGGCTACTCACCTACACACACATTCTCATCGTCCAGCTCTGCGGAGTTATTTCGGTAGTAGCCAAGCCGGCAATACTGGCAGTGCTGTCCCCGAGTGTTATGTTTGCAACTAATGCAGGTCACTAAATTCAGGAAGTCGATAAAGCTGCACCGGTTGGAGTGTCCATAACATTCACAGTCTGCGGGAGGGAAAACGAGAAAGAACATGGTCTCGTTCATCAGGCGGCATGAGAACCAGCTGAGAAAACAAAATCCAACGTCTTCTACAACTGAGCTGTAGAAACACCCAGCTTTGCACTTAGCTGAGTGCTTTTCTTTCACCCTTAAGTTTGCTGTGAATGTAAGGGAAGATGCAGAAGCCAGGCGGGAAGGAGAAGACACATCTGGGGTACATTTGATGGAACGTGCAGCCAGAGGTCCATGCATGTGCTTTTTTCCTCCCCACGGTTTGCAGCTGCTTAGAAAGAAGGTCCTATCGGCCTGAAATGCTCTGAATTCATTCTTTGACTTGAGGAAGACCAAGTTGAAACAAGGAGCCCCTTCTCCCTGCCCAATTACCACCAGTGGGCCTTTTTGAGATGGGGAAGTGACTTAAGATTAGAGGGGTGGTCAGATGGCAATGTGACCATGTTTCTTGTAGAAGATCGGTTGTCCTCATCCACAGAAAGACCAAATAGGGCCAATCGGGCTTGAGGAGGTGGACCATCTCACTCACAATGACGTTGGAGCATTGTTCTGTCGAAGTGCAAAGGCTGGTGTCAGCAGATAAGGTAAGGTGCCCTCTGCACACTGCCATGCAATGCAACATTTTGCAGTGGTGATTTGAGAGATGTCCCCTTGAAGGTCTACACAGTTAGATAGCCTTAATATGGTCAATAATCTAAGAATCCCCTTGAAGGGGCACCTGACGGTTCTCACTCGACCTGTATCATGTCACCTTTGCAGCTCCATCCCCCATCCCAGGGTGGTTGCCTTGCCAGTGTTAGACAGGGTGGCCTTCTTGCCAACGTTAAGAGGTTGTCTTGTGTTAGAACAACAGATCTGCAATTGAAACGTTCACCAGAGAAGGTAGCTTAAAGTCTAAACGCTTGTTGTTTTAAAGAAAATTACAGTCTTCTTGATGTGACTTCCAAATACAAAATAATTCTAAAATAATTCTAAGATTTAGGCTGAGTTCTCTCAAGAGTTCCTTGGTTGGGGGAGGGGGGAAGGAGCAAACAAGAATTAAACCAGGTTCCCCAAACTTGGCGCCTTCAGATGGCTCGAGATGATAAACCCCCAAGTTCTTCACCCAGACTTTCATGTAACGTTAAGCCAGGACATGCTGGTTCACTACATAAAAGAAACGGAGCACCAATGTAACCCCCACCCCCACCACCACCACCACCACCACTGTCAGACTTTATTACGTTAGAGAAATCAAAGCATCAGTGAAGGAGATGGTACATTTCCAGCTTATCTGGACACTCCTGAGGTTTTCATTTCAACAAATATTCTGCCCTTCCTTGTCTTACCTTGAAATGTTTCAATAGGGATCAGTGGAACAGAGCCAGATTTTTGCTGGATGAGTCTGGAGGTCTTAGACAAAACTTGAGAATAATTTTTTTTTAAAAAAGATCAATTCTTTTTTCCTCTCTTCGCTTGCACGCAAACACAAGCTATTTTCAAATATGTTCACATGACCAAGAATCGTGGCAGATAAAGAGCTGGCGGTGACATTCGCACAAGACGGGGCGCTTAGTTTTAATCTCGGTTAGGGTTTTGTGGTGTCGGGGCAAACCCAGCCTGTCTGCTGATTTTACGTTTCAAGGAGAACTGAGAAAGGTGATGAACTTCCCCGATGACCGTCTTGTGTGAATGCAGCTGTCTAGTCCTACAGCTAAGATAAAGCATCACAAGAGCACTACTGAATTTCTATTAAGCACAGCAAAACCATTTGCCTTCTACTTGCCTTCCCTCCCCTCCCTTGATTTTCAACACTGCCAAACCCTCTTGTCATACATTTGGCACCAAAATAGCATGAATCAGACCACAATTTCGATCTGGAGGGGAAGAACAAATGTGAAACTCAAGGCAGGCCTTATTGGTGGTGACCCCTATCTTATGGAATACATTCCTTCTAAAGTAGTATCCGGCCACCTTTCTTCTTACATTCAGGATGCTCAAAACTCTTTTTTGGGAGCCAAGTCTTTGATGTCCAGGCCTGTGCTTTGAGGATCATCTGGTTGGTGTTATTCTTAAGTTAGGTTTTCCTCCTTTAAAATGTTTTTGGACACCTCTTTTATCTGCTCTCGGTGTACGCCCCTGGGAGTCATTGAAATGGCCTGTATAGAAATCATCGTACTCAATGAATAGATAAAGATTGTTCTCCGGGCCAAGCATTCTCCGATGAAACAAACTATAATTGCATAACTAATCAAAAGCGTGCCATGCAGAGGTCTTTAGGAAGGAAAAGGGTTAGAGTTATGGTGACAATGATGTAGAGGAACAGTGCCTGAATCAAACCGAACAACAGAAGAAGTTGGGCAGGATTAAATTCAACTGAACTAGCAGAATCCCCCATTACAAAACACAGAAATAATGCACAGTATTACCCAAAATGTGGAGCTCTGAAAACACATTGTTCAACCAAGGGAGGAGGACCAATGGCAACAGGGTTTCTCACCCTGCTTTGGCTGGCATTGTAAGCTGGTTTGTTTTGGAAGGGCCTTTTGGAGAAGGAAGTTAGGTATAAGAAACAGGGTTGGGTGAACTAGGAGCAAATTCTTGGGGTGTTTTCTCAGCTTCTAGCACAGGACACCATGTCTGGTTGGGCGTTTTCATGGAAGGTGATCTTCCCCAACTTCCTACTCTCTCAGTGTGCTGAACACGGATTTGGGGTGTCTCAAGGATCCATGATGGACACCAGTATGGCGTGTTGCTTTGGGCCCAGTATTGGGAGGTGGTATGGTTTTCTCACAGAATGGCGGCCATTTAGGCTGATATAAGAAAGTGGAGAGATGATAAGTTGATGTATTCTGCCAGCCTCCCCCACTCCTGATGTTCCTTATGTCCAGATGACCTTTGTCTTTTTCTCTGGGTGGAGGAACATCCTTCAAAGCCAGGCCCAGAGCTGCGACTACCCTCCATTCTCATTTTTTACTTCTGCCTCTGAGATCCCTTTTTGGAAATAAATGCTCCCGGAGTCGGTGCTCTGCAGTGCATCAGGACCAGCTTCTCACTTCATTGCATCTTCATCTTTGGATTGACAGCCGAAACCCTGATCTTGTGAGTCCATTTCCCTCCCTCCCAGATCATGCGTATTATTATTTTTCATTTCTTCATTTCTCAAAGCTGTTCATTTTCTTATTACCCTTTATTTAGCCTCCTTCCTGTTATTTAGTCGTTTTCTGCTTAGTCTGGCTCATTACTGATGTTGCTTTACTTTTACAACTGATCATGCCTTGAAACCTTTCTTAGAAGCCGGTGCATTTCTCAAACCGGCACGTGGAAGGATCTACCTTGAATAGGAAGGGACATAAACGTCGAGGCCTTCCACGTAAGCGACGGTTAAACCGCAAGAATGCGGAGTTTTCCCTACGTGGGCTGCAGCTTGATTTTGGAGGAGTTAAGAAAGCAGGGATTTACGCAGGAAAAGAACGTGTAAGATATGCTGCTGGCAAGGGGTGAGGAAAGAAGAACCAGCCAAAGCTGGTGACCCTAGTTGTCCTCTTCTCCTGGCAGTGCCTTCCCCAAACCCGCCACCTGAAGCTGTGCTTTTTTATTACTGCAGTAATTCCATTACAGAGCTTTCTTGCAAATTGAGCTCCAAAGGTGCCAAATTTAGTATCTCATGGGCAGGGTTAGCCACTTGAGAAGCTGCCAAAGAGACCGGCCGCTCCCAGCCTCTCCCCCCGCCCACAAGAACACAGGCTTCTGCCAATCCTCAAGTGATGGTGGCCACAACTTTTGGCCTGACAACATCTGCTCCATGGTAATGCACCCTGGGAGACGGAGAAGGAGGACAGCATAACGTGAGCCATTTCTCCAAAGAGCTGGAGGAGAATGGAAAAGTCCTCTTGAAGGAGAGAAACACCCTTCAACCTACCCTGAGAGCTCTCCTTGACTTCTCGGGGACCTTTTCAGCTGGAATCCTAAACTGCAGGAACAGGAAATCATCTATAATCTTTTTGGTTCCTTCCTAGTTTTTGTATTGTCTCTTTTGAATGGTGTGTAAATGTGGTTTCTCTCTATTTGTCAAGGTTTTTCTTAAGCCCAATGTCCATTGCTGAGCAGCTGCAGATCCAAGCATCTTACAACCGCTGCCAGTTCCTCATCGCCCAGTCCACCTTCACTTGGCAGATGCACTGTAAGTTTACCATCTCAGCTCTGGTTGTGAATTCCCTTCTCTCCTCTGAACAGCCCTGTCAGTCAAGCCAGAAGCGGAAAGCTGAAATAAAAGGAAACTCCAAAACCCCAAACTGGAATGCGTGTGAACACACAGTTCTTCTACTCAGGCCTTCTGGAATAATCAAGCAACCCCGGTCCTCTGCAGCTGTATGCCGTGAAGGGAAGAATAAATAAATCATGTATGCAAATCATATCTCTGCAAGCAAATTCTCACTGATGTACCTTCAAGCTTTGGACCAACCTTTGAAAAAACAATCTCTCCCAACAGCCAATCAGGTTTCATTTGTAGCACCCGCAAATGTCCCACCATTTGTCTGCGGTGCCCCCAGATGCTCGCATCAATTCCTTTTCTGAAATGCAATTTCCACAACAATGTTCTTTGCGATATAAATCCCTCGCTGTTTTAATGCCTATTTCGCCCACCGTAACCTTTTTGCATCGTCAGTCAGAAACCAGAGCGTGATGCGTTCCTCACAAACATAATGGCGTGGATGCCGATATTTAACCCTGGGGAAACAGACCCTAGTGGAATTCATTCAGTGTATCTCGGTTTCCTCAAAAGTTGACTTTGCCAATCTTCCTCCTTAGCAATTCATGGTGGATTTGATTTTATGTCTCGAAGTACCACCAAAGCAGGCCAGAACTGTGTCAATAAATCAGTGTGACTTGGACCAGCTCAAAACGGGAGTCAAGGTTTTGCAGCAAGGTAGAAGGGAAGTGTGACATTTGCACAGTGCCATCTAAATCTCCTTGAGGTCTCTTTTTTCCTGACTACCCTCTAAAGACGAGAAGAAAGTTGAGCAGATGGAGAAGTTGGCAGTGCAAGCTTGCTGGCTCCTGTGCCCTCCCTTCAATGTTGAGAAAGAACACAAAATTATCTGGCGTCACAAGAGGGGCCTTCCAGGTGCATCAGCTTCTAGGTTTGGACATCAAACGCTTGGAACTCATGTCCTCATTTCAAGCTGCCTCCTAGATCAGAAGAAATTAAAATATCAGACGGCCAGGAGCTGGATTTGATAGCCCTCTGGCACCTGGCAACCTTAGAACAGGTGTGCTGTGAGATACAATTCATAGGAGGGGGGAAGAAAGGAGCTTGGCTACCTGGGCATGCCGGAGTACCGTCCCTGCCAGTCTCTGCCTCAGCATTCTTTTTGATCACCCAGTGATCAGAGGCTGACAGTTCTTTGCTGAGACTCACTGCCAGCGGTCCTGTTCTGAAACGTCAGAATGAGACAGCACATAAACCACCTGCCCTAGCCAAGTGTCAGCAGAAGCGATTGTCTCTAAGCCCAAGAGCGTGGGTGGAAAATGGAATCATGTCCTGAAAACGGTGAGTCTCCTGGCAGCTCCCAAAGACAGGGACTCCCTGCCTGGTCTCCCAAGTTCAGGAAAGTGAGTCGATGTTTCTCCAGGAGGATCTGGCTAGACTTCTGAACCAACAAAGATGGGTTGAGTAGATTGGGGTAGTGTTGGACAATGCAAGTAGCAGATATAGGTGAGGTCTGCCATTCTGGAGACAGAAGGCTCTGGGGAATTGTGAAACAGTCCATTTCTCCTCTGGGCCAGAGCATTTCAACTGGAGGGGCTGGTCCAGCCTTTCTTCAGAAGTTTAGCTTCTGTGCCAAAAGTTCTCATGGTGGTGCAGTGGGTCCTGTCTCCACAAAGACACCTCCAGATTGGAGGTGGTCTAGCTTTCTTTAAAATGTTCTGTTCCTGGAATAATAGATAGGTTTCACACAGGTCTACCCAGGAATATTTATTCTCTCTGAAAAGATATCAATAGTGATGCAATCTGCTTGGACGTTCTCTTCTGCAAAGAATAGGAGATATATCATGGTCCAGAACCAATGACCCAGAGCAGTGGTGGACTCCCAGGAGCTAGATAGGAATTTATCTTGGTTGGGAGGAGGGGGAATGCTTTAATCTGGACACTTGCACCGAGCAAGGGGTTGGATTTTGATGTAGTCAATTGTCCTTCTTCCAGATCTAGGACTCCAGGATCCTATATCTGCACCCCTCCCAGATTTAATAATAATAAACTATTATTATTAAATCTAACTATTGAATAATAATAAAACTAACCCAACATCCACTACTTAAAGCAGGAGTGTCCTCAGGGAGCAGGTCAACAAAGTCAAGGCTTTGATCGCATGGTGGTGGTAGCCATCTTGACTTTTTAGCCCCTCCCCCAACACACCCT